ATCTATTCGCCAAAACTTTAGCAATGACCTTATAAACCTCACCGACTAAGCAATATGACGATAGTCCTTAACATCATTCACTCCCGATTTCTTAGGAATAAGCACAATGAATGTGGCATTAAAACTTCTCATAAATCTGCCACATTCGAAAAAATATTTTATTGTATCCATAATGTCCGATCGCACCACCTCCCAACAAGCTTTATAGAATGAGAGCGAGAACCCGTTCGGTCCAAGGGCCTTGTTATCATTCATAGTAAACACCTCATCCCTAACTTCATCATCCTCAAATGGTCTCTCAAATCAACAATATATTATAATGTAAAGATAATATTTTAATTTCTTTTTCTACTTGTTATATCCCATCCCAACTAGTCGAGTATATCGGACCTATAATTAGTGTGCAAAGAGTCGATATGCCGTATTGACAAATATGTCCAGTATAACAATAATATTTTAAATTTTATATAATGTCGTCTCATGCGACTTGCATGCTTAATGTCCTTTTTGTTTTGCTCTTGTACACTAACTTTACACGAATAACAATGTTTGACCATTTGTTTGACACGGGTACCTTAACAACAATAAATATAATTAGATAAGGAAAAAAAATGGACAAAGTTTGTTTGATGTCCAATATAGTTTTATCCAGTAGTATGTAATAAAGGCATCATCCTTAGAGCTTGTTTGGTTAAATTATAATGTTCTAGAAATGAGAATGCACAAGTGAGTTTTAGTTGTTAGTCTTCCGAGTGATTAACATTAATATTTGACTTTAGCAATTAAATTATAATGTTTCCCAAAAATGCACTCAAAATCTTTCCTATCTTGCTCTTCGTATACTAAGATTAAACGTGAGAACTGTACATGAACTATATAACAGAATAATACACGAACTCAATTTTGTACCAAAATCAGACAACTCATAAATTTGTAATCCATTCATACATGAATTAACTTATGTCATTCAAAATTAACTATATGATCCACGTGACGATTAGAGTACCTACGTGACAAAGACGGAAGTGCCTTACAAGTATATTTAAAAACTTTTCTTTTTTTGTTAAAAAAAAAAAAAAAAAAAAATTCCAAAACAGTTGATTATTAATTTTTTCTATCTATAAATTCTTTCTTCGCCAGAAGACACATCTCCAATCTGGAGCTCTGTTGTTTATTTCCTTCAATTGCTCCAAGATTCGGGCTCAGTCAACCAATCAATCAACCACCACAATCAACCAATGGAACCACAAACCGAAACACCTTCCCAAACACAAATGGTTGCTCTACTATTTCTACCCACAAAAGGACAAAGGTGAAAAAGATGGCAGCTTAGAATGGTTCGCCACAAAGGCAAAGGAGAGAACAAGAGACCACCAAGAGAACATGAAGCCAAAAGGGAGGGAATCTGTTTTTCTCTTCTACCAAAAAGACGGCTGCTCACTTTCACACCTTCAACCGTAATGGAAAAGCGAATTAAATAGGTTAGGAATAGATATGGGCTTTTAGGTCAAATGGTAGGCCCAATATAAGAGAGCCAAGTGGGCTAACACCTTAAAGCCA